GCTGGTGGGGGCGGCCCTGGCTTGGCAGAGGCAGGGATTTCCCAGCTCTGGTGGAAAGGCCCGTGACAAGCAGAGGGGGTCAGGCACAGAGGGGGGGTTGGTTTAATTTCACCCGGAGCACCCAGCACTGCCCGCTCCTGACACAAGCAAACACACCCCAAGCACGTCGTGGGCCAGGCTGCACAACAGCCCCACAGTAGCGCAAACTGCCCACACCCCATGCCTGCCCCCTCCCAGGAGACCCAGAGCCCTCCAGCACCAGTACCCAGGGCCAAGGCCGGTTGCGTGCCCAGCTAGAGGCCAGCGGAGCGGTGTCGCTGCCGGGGCGGATGGCAGCAAAGTGGGGGCACAGCGGGGAGGCCGGCCCAGGGGACGGCACATAAAGGCCAGGCAGAGCCGGGCGGGGGGAAGAGCCACACTCCCAGATGCTGGCCCTAAGCAGCATGGAGCTTTGTAACTTACAGCGTACGGCGCGCGGGCCTGAGCTAAGTGAGCCTGGGCCCTCCCTTCCTCCAGCCGGGCAGCCTGTGTCACGGTGGGGCGGGGCGGTGGGGTAGGAACGGGAGCCCGGCCCCACGCATCAGCCAGGTGGCGGCGCTGCCACACACGCTTGCGCCTGGTTGGGTTAAACACTGTCACTTCCTGTCTCCTGGGAGGGCCCGACTCTCCGCCCAAGCACTCTCCAGCGCCCGGGATCTCTCGGCTCTCTCACCTCCGCCCAGCGCCAGCACAGTGGGCATCAAGCCGACTGCCGCACCAGGCCACAGCAGAAAGCCTCTGCTTCTCCGGAGTCTCTTCCCAGGGCTCACGGTGCGCCCGTGCAGCCTCAGCGGGAGAGGGACCGGCTCGCCAGCACTACCGGCCCATTGCTGGGCCGTGCTATGGATGATCTGAGTTGTCAGGGTTCGCCTCAGGCAGCACTGAAGGCAGCTGCCCCTGGGTGAACCGGGACGAGCTATGTGACAGCAACAGCACGGCAGCTCTGGCTCCACGGGACAGGTTGCTGCAGGGGGACTCGGAGGCGGCGAAGCGCAGGGCTGCTCTCCCTCACCATTCAGATCCCTGGGTTTTCAAGCTGACTTAATTATCTGTTTGCAGCATTAGGCAGCAGCCGCCCGCAGCGAGCTCTGCGGAGTAAATACACTGCGGAGGGCCGGAGCCGGCTGCAGCTGCGTTTGCCTCTGCCCTTTGCATGGGAGAGGGAGCTGAGACAGACCCCTGGGTGCTTACAGTGGGACAGTCAGTGAAGGGTGCTCCCCAGCCCACAGGCTGACAGACGAAGAGACACCGCTTGATTTACAACAGACGGACCCAAACGCTCCAACTCTGCTAGGGAAGGGCTCCACCAATGCGGTGCGAGAAAGGGAACCCGGAAGAAAAGTCCCGCAACTGCTGCCCCGTTACCACACCAGCCGGTACAACTGTACTCGAGGCCTGGTCGTCTTTCCCGTGCAATCTGCAGGCTTTGCGCAGGGCCTGGGACTGACTCTTCGCACAGGATTGTTTCTCCGCGGGTGTGACAGCGCGTTGGGGTTTTCCCGTCTCCTGCACCCCCGTAATGGCATGGACAGACTCCCCCAGCCAGTAGAAAAGAGGGAGTTTATTGCTTCTCCAGGATACAGCCCAGCACAGATGGAATCTGGTTCCAGGGCAGGCCTAGGATGCCTCAGCCCCCTTGAGATGGGAGAACCTGGGCCCCTAAATCCCAGCCCGTTGCCTAGGCTGCTTCCTCCATGATCCCAGCCAGAAACCTAACCCCCTCACTTCCAGCCCTGCCCCCAGCCAGGGCTCCACTCCCCTTCTTCCCATTGCTCCCTGGTAGATATCTGGTCAGACAGGTTCGCAGCCCCTTGCATAATGACTCATCCCCTGCCCTGCTGGGCCGTGCTGCAGCCAGCAGCCAGTGGAGGTCACCCACAGCCCACTGCCCAGCATAGCAACCAGCAAGGGACCCCCCACTATGTCACAATGGGATGTAAAGTCACCCTGCGCAGTGCAGAATAGAACCACAACTCCCCAAGTCCGCAGGGAGCAACACTGTGTGCACATGAGAGGGGCTGTGTGTTCCACATGCAGCATGGAAGCAAGAGCCTCAGGGGGCCAAGTGGGATGCCCAGTCCCTCCCTGCACCATCCCATCCCCCCGCAGCTGGTGGCTGGTTTATGCCTCTGATCAGGAACGTTAACATCCCCTATGAGTGTTCGATCCTCTCTCATGGAACTGCATTTTCTCATCCCCGGTGGAAGGCCTAACCAATTGCTAACCTCTCCGAGCTCTTGGCTTCCGTGGCCCCTCGTGTCAAGCACTATGTGACTGCATACGCCCTTGCCTCACTGTTCTCTTCACCGGCTCTTCCTTGTTCTGGTACCACAAGAGTTTCCCTGGCCTCCATTCATGTACCATCCAAACGGCAGCGTTTCTTCCGCCAGCCCCTCCTCACCCAGCATGTTTACTGCCCGCCCTGGGCCCATTCATCTTCTGCTCCATCCTCAGGCAGAAGAGGGGCTCGATCGGAGCCCACTATTCCAGGTGGCTGCCCACAGGTGTGCTTAGCACAGGCCTCCAATGCACCACGGGAGGCAGGCGGGCTGAGGCCGTTGGAGAGGCGCTGGGCCTGCCACAAACAGCAGCAGTCGGGAAAGGTTCTCCTCGCCATTGGGGCTCCAGGGACATGGCAGCTGCTGGTTCTAGGTCAGAACGCAAACAGGCTCCTTTGCCAGGCGGGGCAGTTGTGCGGCCAGACGTTCTAGAGTGAGCACCACGGGCCCCCAGTGTGCTCTGGGACACAGCCGAGGCCTGGCCTGCCCCACGCAGGGACCGGGGGCAGAGGCAGTTCAAGCAGCCATAAGCCTGCTCTCTGCCCATGTTTGCATGGGCTCACCGCAGACCCTTCCCGTGGCCAGGGTCACTCTGAGCTAGGGACACTGTGATTCCCCAACAGCCGCGAGCCCTCGAAACAGCTACAATGGGCCAGGCCTGCAGGGGGGCGACTGGGGTTTGAACTGGGGCATGGAGAGACAGCCGCGAGGGGCCACCATAACGCTGGAGAACGGGCACGTAGGCCAAAGCAGCACGAGGCAGGCAGACAATGTGCGCAGGCCGCCTCCTCAGCATGCCTAGATCGGGCCCCGTGCAGAGCAGAGCCAGCCCCCGCTCCGCAGCATCCCAGGAGCATCTGGCGAGGGGGGGGAAGTGCAGCAGGCGCAGCTGAGTGACAGGAGTTGGCCCCATCCCCCTGCATACTCTGCGGGGTTCCCCTCTGCTGCACACCCCGCCCCAGCCCAGCCCCCGGCCCCGCGCCTGCTCCCTGCACAGCCC